TGGCGACGAGTATACGACAAAATGCCAGAATATGTCCGTCTCACGTAAATTTGGGTGGGGGAGACATAGCGCGACATGCGAATGCCAAGAGAGTCAGGTTCTAGGCAAACGACGAATCCCTTAGCTCCACGCCGTCTTATAGTCCTCCACTCGGGTTTCAACCTGGAGGTGAGATGAAATTTCAAACAGTCGATTGAATATGGGGGTATTGGAGGTCAGAAAGGTCAAAAAACGATTCAAATCCCCTAAAACACCTGATCGTGGTTTTAGAGGTGGGTGAAATAGGTGAGTTTTGGTGAGGGCCTGAGAGGCGATCCACGACTTTTGCAGACCCCTGTTGACTGGAAGGTCGGCTTGGTTTCCAATTCTCTCCCCAGATCTGGCCTTCTAGCCAGGTTAGATCTGATGTCTCCAAAGGGGATCGAGTCGTACGTAATGGCTACTGCAATATTTACTCAATTTCAGTGATGTGTACTAGTTCCTATTCTACGTTCACACTTCACGCAAGGCCCTTAATCCACCTTGCGCGTTGACATCAGCACCACTATCGAGCAGCAGCTTCACAGTCTGCTGGTGGCCTCCATCTGAAGCTGCTTGGAGTGCGCTGTCGTAGATTCCACCTTGCGCGTTAACATTGGCGCCCTTGTTGAGCAGAAGCTTTACAGTGTACTCGCGGCCTCTACATGAAGCCGCTTGAAGTGCGTTGCCGTAGCGTCCATGCGCGTTGACATCAGCACCACTATCGAGCAGCAGCTCCACAAGCTGCTCGTGTCCTCTGAATGACGCCGCCTGGAGTGCATTGCCATAGAATCCGCCTTGCGCGTTGACATTGGCGCCCTTTTCGAGCAGTCGGTTTACCATAAAACAGTTACCATATTTGGCGGCATCATGTAATGGACAGTGACTATGCCACTCGTATAACAGGGGGATTAATAGCTGCTGAAAGCTCCCTGATGTCCTGCACCAAGACAGAAGATCACCCTTGTTCAGTATCTACCCACACAGGTGGAAGTGTAGACCTACGAAACCGCCGATACGCAACAGTATCTCATTTGGGAAGTCGGTTAATAACATCATCCTGACCTAAGACTATCGTCGACGGTAGGTGTCCGAGGGCCACACTTCGAAGAGTCAAAAGTTGAAAGTTGAAAGTTAGAAGTTAAGTCTTAGATCCTGCTTAGTCAGCGTAATTAATAAGTTAAAATCAGTTAAAATCACGTGTATTGTGTGTTTTCTTGAGGCATGCGCGATCAAAATCAGTCGAAATAAGTCAAAATCAGTCGAAATCAGTTCAACAGTATCAAGAGATGGTCGTGTTACAGGCATGATAACTGATTGGACTAAAGGAGGAGAAGGAGAAGTTGCGTTGTATTGGGGCGGTGGAAGCTCTTCAGCCGGGGTAAAGCCACTCTTGGCAACAATCTGTTGCCAAGAGCGGCGGCTTTACCACGGGCTAGCGTGTCTGTACCCGCTATCTGTATGCATAACTGTTTCCTTTCCAATGCGAGCAGGGATCCTGTCCTAACTCACCGCTCGCTGGTTGCCTGCTTACTGAGCCTCAAACGTCGATATACGGAGAGGCGTCCTGCGCGCCCTGTAGCTCTCATCACTGCAGCGATCAAGAGAGGGCGTGTGGCATCAGGCATTATCCATCGATGCTTCCCACTGTGTGCATGGATCACAGAATTCGCCACGAGTCGTCCACAGTAAATAGCAACACTCTCTGAAATGGCGTCAATGTTGAGTAGTTATTAGCTTGCTGCATCTTCCTACAGCTGTCCTACGTCACGACAATTAGCTACTTATTTTGGCATTTTGTCGTATACTCGTCGCCACATGAGGTTTTAATATACGTATACTATCGAATATTAGTTAATATACTTGGTGTTGAGTCTCCACGTTTTTTTTCTACCCATATGCCCCCTACGAGGTCGAAAAAACCCACTCAAAGCGTTCAATTTGCCATAGACGCGTCGACTAAACCTCCTCCTCCTCCTCCTCCTCCTCCT